ATTAAGTGTCACATAGACTGATACCATGCAGGTTAAGCCAAATGGTTGTGTAACTGAAGCGTTACTTATTTGCAAAGCAGCTTACAGGATACCCCTAAGGATATTATTACGAAGTACCAGCCCTTCCGAGTTCATTGCTGTTAATGTCTCCAAGCCAGTGAATTCTGCCATGACTTTTCTGTTTATTCATGGTGGTAATCAGCAAGACTCTTGCTTCTCATGTATAATTGCTTCTACTTTTGAATTAATATCTCATATAACATTTTAATAATCCTTTTCATACACAAAGCTCACTTAAAGTGTATAATAGCCAGTGTGTTATTAACTCTCTTTGTCAGAAAGACGTTACTGAGAGCTGAATAGTAACAAGCAGAGAAAGGAAACAACGAGAACTCTTAATTATTAATAGGAGATATACCCAGAGACTTTTACGCACTGGGTACAGGTAGTAAAGGGTCTTATTTTAAAATGGCACAAGATCAACAGCAAAAATACTGTGAAAATACCCAGCAAAAGTATGAGAACAAGAACAGAGACTACTGTATATATTTTTAAAAATATTTAGAGAAGTCTTCCACTTAATTATGGAGGAAAAGCTAAAGTTGTTATACAGTAATTTAAAACTATTGATTTTGGGCCATTTACCTAACTGTACTTATATTGTAGGCATTAAGGGTCTTCAATAGGAAAATGGTGAAATTGCTACTTGATAGAAACTATAAGGTCAAAAAAGAAAAAGAAAAAGAAACTATAAGGTCAAAAGCTGCTGTTTTAAAATTTGTCACATTTTTGGATATATCAGGAGGGTGTCAGGAAGCATTTGAAAAGGAGATGTTGTGTCATTGCTAGATACTAGAATTTTTTTACACAAGTATTTTCACTTAGATACAATGGTATAATTGAGTATAGATGCACATGACAAAATATATCTCTGAAGCCCTTCGTTGTATCTTAAAATAGAAAACTTACGCTCCAAGTCCAAATACATTTTTATAAATACATTGCTCATATAGAAAATTACAACTTATCATAAGTTACAAATGTGGCACACAAGAGATACAAATATGACTAAGAAAAATTAAATGGTTCTTCAAAAATAATTTTATCAGTCACTTTAGAACTCAGAAATGTTCTGGTAGAAATTTGGTGGCTCAAAGATCATTTAAAATCCATTAAGATCATCTGCAGTAGTGCTATCTCCAGCTTTTATTCCAGAAAAATGTATAATAGGGCCGGGGATTTAGCTCAGTGGTTTCGCCGCCTGCTGCGCAAGCGTAAGGACGTGAGTTCGCTCCCCAGTACCAAAAAAAAACCCCAGAAAAATGTATAATATATTTATAGTAATAAATGCTGAGGACTACAACTGTGGGCTTGTACCTTAGTGGCCAGTTCAGTTTATGAACTGCTCCAACCGTGGCTGCACCATGATGCTTTCTCACCAGCCATGTGTGAGTGTAACCAGGATTTGAATTATTATTCTTTTATTCTAGCCACTGTGATAGATGTTTGATACTTCATTGTGGTTTGAACTTGCATTTTCTTAATGGTAAATGATTCTGAACATCTTTTCACATGTTTCTCTGCAATCTGTATGTGTTTCTTCCGTGAAATGTCTCTTTATGTGTTTTGCCACTCTTCTAATTAGATTTCCTCATTTTTTATTGTGGACACTTGGAAGTTTTTATATTATCTAAACATCAGTACACTGATGGATATGTGGTTTGTAGAGTTTTCCCCAGACTTTGCATGTCATTTCATTCTGTTATAATGCTCTTAGATGAGTTTTAAATTTCAGTGTACTTTTCCTTTCAAGGATTGTGGTTTTGGGGACAAATCTAGGAACTCTTTACCTCATCATCAATTCTGAAGATTCTTTCCTAATTTTCTACAAGTTCTATGCTTTTATGTTTTATATTTATATATGTGATCCATTTCAAGTTAATTGTTGCATAGTGTATGACACTTGGGTCAATTTTTTTAGCTTATGGATGTCTACTTACTCCATCACCATTTGTTTTCATGGTTATTTTTTTGCATTCATTAAATGACTTAGCAAGAACTTGTATTAAAATAAAAAAGGGACTGAGAATGTAGCTTAATGCAAACATCTTGAGTTCAATTCCCAGTACCACAAAACATAACAAAATAAATTTCTTAAAAAATCATCAAGTCATACACTTTAAAGAAAAAATTTTATTGCATGTAAGTTATACCTCAACAACTCTGACAAAATTATGTATGTAGTCAAGTTGTTTTTACTAATTACTTTGTATATATACATACATATATAAATGTATAATATCAGTATATAATAGCAATATTTGTAATGATAATTACATAATAATTACAATCATTTTGGGGAATTGGTACATACACATATCACATCTCAGTCCTTTTTACTTCTCCTTCCCTTCTCAACCCTTGCCTTTTCTCCATCACAAATCCCCTCCCCATTTCCACAAAGTCAACCTCCCTGTTTCTTGTATCTCTCTTTTACTTTGTTCTTTAAATTACTTGTATGGTGAGTTTCTCATGTAAGAGAAACCATGTGATAATTAACCTGTGTCTGGTTTATTTGAGCATTGTGATCTCAAGTGGCATCCATTTTCCTACAAATGACTGAAACTTATCTTTATTACTGATTAGTATTTCACTGTATATGCACCACATTTTTCTTTATCTATTCCTCTACTGATGAGCCTATAGGCTGCTTCCAAAATTTAGCCATTATGATTTGTGCTGCTCTAAAGGTGGGTATGCATGTGTCACTGTAATATGATGTCTTGGACTTTTTTGTTTGTTTGTTTTGTTGTTGTGTTTTTTTGGTACTGGGGATCGAACTCAGGACCTTATGCTTGTGCGGCAGGCACCAGAACCACTGAGCTAAATCCCTGGCCTGATGTCTTGGACTTTTGAGAGAAGTTACCCAAAGTGGTATAGCTAGGTCAAATGAAATTTCTGTTTTTAGTTTTGTGATGAATCTCCAAATGATTTCCAAAGTGATTGTACTAGTTTATATTCCCACTAATGATGCAGAAGTGTTCCTTTTCCCCTACAACTTTGCCAGCATTTGTTGTTTTTTGAATTTGTGATGAATGCTATTCTTTCTAAGATAGAATCTCAGTGTTCTTTCTAATTGCATTTCTCTAATGGCCAAAATGCTGAACTTTTTTCATGTACTTATTGGCCATTTATACTTTTTCTTTTGAGAAGTGTCTATTCATTTTGATTGCCCATTTTTTATTGGGTCTTCTTTTTTAGTGGTCTATTTTTTTTTTTTTTTTTTTTTTTTTACTTCTCTCTATATTCTTGATATTAGTCCTCTATTTGAAGGGGAATTGGCAAAGATTTTTTTTCCATTCTGTAGGTTGTCCCTTCACTCTCTTGGTTATTTTCTTTGCTGTGTGGAAGCTTTTTAATTTGACATGATCCTATTTGTTGGTTCTCTGTATTGTTTCTTGTGCAGTTGGGATTTTTCCAGAAAGTCCTTGCCTATGCCTATGTCTTCAATAGTTTAACCAATTTTATCTTGCAGCAGATTTAGTGTTTCTGTTTTTAATACCTAGGTCTTTGATCCATTTCGATATGATTTTAGAACAGGGTAAAAGATATGGGTCAAGAGTCATTCTTCTGCACATGGATAATCAGTTTTCCGAGCACCACTTGTTAAAAGAGGCTTTTTCTCCATTGTATATTTTTGGCTTCTTTGTCAAAAGATCAAATAATTGAAAGGGCCTGGGGTTGTCTTTACATTTTCAGTGTTATTTTATTGGTTAATATATCTGGTTTTGTCCCAGTGTCATGCTGGGGTTTTTTAATGATTGTGGCTTCGTAATATAAATTGAAATGTAGGGTTGTGATGACTCATGCTTTGCTTTTATTGCTCAGGATTGCTTTGGCTATTCTGGGTCTCTTCTGAGTCCACATGAATTTTAGGAGTGTTTTTTTCTTCCTACTTTTGTGAAGAATAGTGCCAATTTTTGTTATGTAGTTACAACAAATTTAAATCTGCTTCTCCAGGTTATGGTTATGAAAGCACCTCACTTCTAGAACCTGCTAACAATGGTGGTAAATTACACAAACATTTTAATTTTTGTGAAAGTTACAGGTTAAAGACAAGTTTCTCATTGTTATGGTTATTTTACTTGCATATTTTAAAGTATGTACATGATGAGCATTTGTTTTTTTTAGTGTCTTTCTGCATAGGAAATGTCTCTTCATATTATTACCCATATTTCTATTGGTGTATTCATCATCTACTGAATTGTAATAGCTCTATATAGATTTTTAAATGGCACTTTGTAATTTTAAGATGGCATTTTGTCTTCAAATATTTTAAGTTTCTTAGGTAGTTTTCATGGAAATGTTTCTAATTTTACAGTTGAATTTATTCTTTTTCTTTATTCAATCCTGCTTTTACATCACCCTAAGAATGACCATCCCTGCTCCAAAATAATATGCACTAATCTGCTTTCTTCTACTACCTATGCAGTCATATTAATTATTAAATTTTGCTTCATGGTGAATTTATTTTGGTATAAATTGTCTGAACATGATTTATTGGAGAATATTTTACCCACTCACCCTGCATTTGTCATGTACTAAATTCAAATATTTTTACTGGCTTTATTTATACATTGTCCCCTGTTCCATTAATCTTTCTATTTATACGTGCTATTATGTGGATAACATTCACAATCTTGTCCTGAGAATGAGCATGCGTCTATTTATCTTCTATTCCCATCTTATTATGACAAAATAATAATTTCTCAGCTTAGTATTTTAATAAACGCAAAGCAAAATATCAGCTTTTCAAATACACTAATTCTTACTGAGTATGATATTTATGTGAAATCAAAGTAATAAAAAATCCCACAGCAAAAAACTGTAAAAACATACAGTACTAGAAATGTTTCATAATAAGTATCAGTGAAGGAACTTACAATATTATATATAATTACCCTATTTAAAACCTCTAATATAACAAAATCTCTTTTTAGCTTTATGGTTTCCTCCAAGAAATGATTATTGGAAGATGGCGATGTGGTGAACAGACGCAAAACAGCCTCTCTGAGATTTGGGTCCAGATCCTGGAATATAGCAACACGAGGAAAAGAAGGAGGAAACTGGGGTTCCAGGACCTAGCAAGGATCTGAAGTGAGAATTGGAGCCTACAGGGAGAGTGAAGAGGGAGACTTCAATGAAGAAAGAGGAGGTGGCAAGTGGTGCTTTCTCCCTGAGCCCTGACTCATTGCATGGGAAGAGTAACTCTAACCTGCAGATGCACTGTGACTACTGGTGACTCCAGAGGCTTCCACAGAGAAACATAGCAGTGGAAAGGAGCAGTGGATGCAGTGAACTGCAGTGACTGGTGAGTTATTTGGGTTCAGAGGTCACCCAGGAAAGGGTGATTGGCTGGTAGTCATCTTGGAAAGGGGCCAACTGAGCTCAAAACTCAGAGCAGCTGCCCAGTGGCTCCAACAGCATGAGGTGGAACCCAGTTCAAGTTGGCAGGAGGTCAAAGAGCCAAGTTCAAGCTGGCAGGAGGCACATGGGGTGTTGTAAGCTGAAGAAAATAGGTTCCAGCTGCATAGCCAAAAACCAGCCTGAGCTTTAGAACTACAGGTGCTGGCTTGCTGGGATAACCCACTATCTTGCCCTAAATCTACAGCTGGCTTGTTGGGATTAATCAACACAGACATAGATGCTGTCTGCCTACTTTGATAATCAGTGACAGCAGAGACATGCCTTGAAGTGGACATTTATTTCTTATTTTCTTTTCTTGTATTTTTTTTCTTTTTGCGTCATTCTTTGTTCTTGTTTTTATATGAGTGTGAACATTGTTTCTAATTTTTTGGTTGTTGGTGTTCTGTTCTTGTCTTTATTTCCTCCCTCTCTCATTCCCTCCTGTCTTTCTTACCAGTTTCCCAAAGTTTGCATAATCTTCCTTTGTCCTCTAGCCTTGCTTATCTTTCTTCTTCTTCTATTCCTCTCTTGTTCCTCATAACCTCTTTTAAATTTTCTCCCCGAGGGTAAAATTGCCATACTGAGGGCATTATTACTGTATACAATTTTTAATTTTGTTTAGGGTTTTGTTATATAACCACAAATCTAGTTCATATGGCTAATGGTGGCAAATTAATAGTTACCACAGTTTGTCATTTATACGCTGTATTTGATGCTCTCCTTGTTGCTGATTGTAATACCTTACCCAAGGTGACATAGTTGTTTTATTCAGTTGTTCTTCCTGATGTGTTAATACTGAGATTGCCTAAGGGTAATAAACAATACTATAGGCCAGTGCCAAAGAACCAGGAACTGGGCCAAGTGAGCAGCAACATTCCCAATAAATTGAAGAAGATCTTGCAACAGACTCAAAGCCCAAAAGCCAGCTCCACCTGGGAGACATCTCTGAGAAGTAGTCATTTCCTAAGGGTTCTAAATACTAACAATAAAGCTACTTGTCATAGGTAATTTACAAGCATCAACCCAGGAATTTAGCTAAAAAATAGAAAATGAGAAGACACTTGAGCAAGATGCAACCCCAAACTTCAAGTTAACCAAAGGCAAACTCAGGGGGCAATGAGGTAGAACAATTTGAAACTCACCTACCTGGACTCTCTGAAATGGTAACAGCAGAAGTAACAAAGCAGATGAATGAAGCTCTAGAAAAAAATGAAAGCAGAAATAGTTTCTCGGATAATTACAGAGATAATGACCATAAAGAAAGACATGGTAGTGAAAGAGCAAATACAGATTTTTAAAAAAAAGGATCTTAGGAAAATGATAGAAACCATGAATGCCCAGCATAGGAAAGAAATAGAATCCATGAAACAGATTTAAATAGATAAACAGGAGATTTAAAAATTCCATTGAAAGTATATGCAGCAGAATGAGCCAGTGTGAGGACAGAATAACAGATCTAAGAGACAGGATTGCAGTTAGTGATTATGAAGAGAAAAAATTCATAAAAATAGCAATAGGTCATGAAAAATCAATCATAAGTTTCTAGATGATGCAAAGAAAAATAATATAAGATTGATTGAAATCAATGAAAAAGTAGGAGATAGCACAAATGATATAAAAAGCCTATTCACTGAAGGAATAACAGAAAATTTCCCAAGCAGCAAAAGAGAATTTTACATACAGATAAGTGAAGCATATAGAACTCCAATTAGCCATGTTCAAAAAACTATCTACACTAAAACACATAATAATCAGTATTCCAGAAATTCAATGCAAGAACAAAATACTAAAAGCTGAAAGAGAAAAGAAACAAATCACTTATAAAGGAAAGCCCATCAGAATCACAGCAGACTTCGCATGGCAAACCATCAAGTCAAGAAGAGCTTGGAGTGAAGCATTTCAAGCCCTAAAAGAAAACACCCTCCAACCCAGACTGATGTACTCCACAAAACTATCTTTCAAAATTGATGGGGAAATAAGATATTTCCATGACAAAGAACACCTCAAGAAACTCATGACCACAAAACCACCAGTACAACAAAATGTTCTGAAAGACATTCTAGAAATAGATAACAAGGACTACAACTCCATGAACCCTAACAAAATTAATTACAAGCAACATAAGCAATTAAACAGAAGAGAAAAAGGAACCAACAACAAGAAAATAAGATAACAAGGATAAGTCAATATATATCAATTATAACCATCAGTGTAAATGGTCTCAATTCACCAATCAAAAGAAACAGACTGGCAGAATGGAGTGAGAAGCAAGATCCAACAATATGCTGCATATAAAGAAATGCATTTAATTCAAAAAGAAATTCATAGACTGAAAGTCAAAGGATAGAAAACAATACTCCATACAATAGGAATGCCGAAAAAAGCAGGGATAGCTATTCTATTTGTAGGTGAAGTGGATTTCAAGCCAAGACTGATTAAGAGAAATAAAGAAGGTCACTACATACTTCTTAAGGGAACAATCCAAGAGGAAGAGATAACAATCATAAATATATATATGCACCAAATAGCAGTGCACTCAACTATATAAAACAAATATTAATGGACATAAAAAATCAAATAAGCACTGATACAGTTGTAATGGGGGATCTCAATACCCTACTTTCACAGATAGACAGATAAACTAGACAAAAAATCAACAAAGAAATATCAGAACTGAACAGAACCTGTGAACAAATGGACTTAGATGTCTACAGAGTGTTCACTGCACAACATCAGAATACACATTCTTCTTGGCTGTACATGGAATGTTCTCCAAAATAGACTATGTACTGCTCATAGAACAGGTTTAAGTAAATGCAAAGGAAATAAAATTATCCTTTGCATATTGTGACCATAGTACAATGAAATTGGAAACCAATCTCAAAAGAAACCACAAGCACTTCATAAATACATGGAGGCTGGGGATTTAGCTCAGTGGTTTTGCTGCCTGCTGCACAAGTGCAAGGACTGGAGTTCAATCCCTGGTAACAAAAAAAGAAAGAAAGAAAGAAAGAGAGAGAGAGAGAGAGAAGGAAGGAAGGAAGGAAGGAAGAAAGAAGGGAGGGAGGGAGGGAGGGACAGAGGAAGGAAGGAAGAAAGAAAGAACAATTACATAAATACATGGAAATTAAATAACACATTCAAACAACCAATGGGTCACAGATGAAATTAAAGAAGAAATTAGACAGTTTCTACAATTAAATGATAATGCCAAAATAACATAGCAGACTTAGGGGGTGCCATAAAAGCAGTCCTATGAGGGAAATTTATAACAGTGAATTCCCCTATCAGGAAAACAGAACAAGCTCAAGTAAACAACCTAATGTTGAACTTCAATCTTGTAGAAAAAGAAGAGCAAGTTAGGCCCAAAACTCATATCGTGGAGGAAGTGATAAAGATCAAAGCAGAAATTAATGCAATGGAGACTAAGAAAATAATAGAAAGAATCAATGAATTGAAGAGTTGGTTCTTTGAAAGATTAAATAAAATGGACAAACCCTTAACCAAAAAAAAAGACTCATATGCGTGTAATTAGGAATGAAAAGGGTGAAATCACATCAGATCCTGCAGAAGTCCAGAATATCATCAAGAACCTGTATTCTAATAAGATGGAAAACACAGAAGAAATGGACAGCTTCCTAGATACATATGAATTACCAAAGCTGAATTAAGATATAAAAATTCTTAATAACCCAATATCAGTCAATGAAATTTAAGATATAATTAAAAACCTACCAACAAAAAAAAAGCCCGGGTCCTGATGGATTCATTGCTAAATTCTTCAAGAAATTTAGAGAAGACCTAATGCTGCTACTTTTCAATCTCTTTAATGAAATCGAAAGGGGAGCAGTACTCCCAAAGTCATTCCTAGAAGCAAGCATTAGCCTGATACAAAAACCACAGAAGGATCCAACCAAAAAAAAGAATTATAGGCCAATCTCCCTAATGAACATAGATGCAAAAATCTTCAATAGGATTCTGGCAAATTGAATGCAATAAAATATTGAGAAGGTTATACACCATGACCAAGTAGGATTCATACCAGGGATGCAGGAATGGTTCAACATATGCAAATCAATAAATGTAATACATTATATTAACAGAGCCAAGAACAAAAAGTATATGATCCTCTCAATAGAAGCAGAAAAAGCATTTGACAAAGTTCAACACCCATTCATGATTAAAAAAAAACCCTACAGAAAATTGAAATAGATGCTCTTTATCTCAATGCGATAAAAACTAATTATGACAAACCAACAGATAGCATTATAGTAAATGAAGAAAAACTCAAAGCTTTCACTCTAAAATCAGGAACAAGAGAAGGATGTCCACTGTCACCACTCTTATTCAATGTAGTTCTGGAAACATTCACCAGAGAAAATACACAAGAGAAAAAAATAAAAGAAATAGGGATAGGAAAGGAATAAAATTAAATTATCATTATTTGTGGATGACATGATACTCTACATAGAAGACTCCAAAAGCTCCACCAAAAAACTTCTAGATAATAACCAAATTCAGTAGTTGGATGCAAAGTCACCATTCAAAAATCAATAGATTTCCTGTACACAAAAAACAAACTTACTGAGAGAGAAATTAGGGAAACAACACCATTCACAATAGCATCCAAAAAAGTGAAATACCTAGGAATCAATCTAATGAAGGAAGTAAAAGACTTTTACATAGAAAACTATAATACTCTGAAAAAGGAGATCAAGAGGATATCAGAAAATGGAAAGATATCCCTGTTCTTGGGTAGGAAGAACAAAGAAAATGGCCATAGTTCCTAATTTTTAAACAGCTTTAATGCAATCCTGATCAAAATTTCAATAGCATAGCTCACTGAATTAGAGAGAACAATCCTAAAATTTATTTGGAATCAGAAGAGACCTAGAATAGCAAAAG